ACAGACGTAGAGGACACAATGTCCAGTCGCTGTATGAGTGTGTTTGATTGACTGCTCAGCATATCCCCAGAAGCTCTTTCACCGCTGCAGCAGTTCAACAGCCAGAACACCCGCCCCTGTTAGCACACTAGCGCGAGGGAATTATGCTGGGAGATAGCCACAGTATATATGATATTAGTACCTACATGTAATATTTGGTGGCCACAGAGTTACTTTATTAAGGGAACATGTCATCTGGCCATGACGTGTCCTACCCGTGCACTGATGGCCCATTTACATCATGTTTCCTATGTCCAAATTTCACATTTCCTCTCCTTGATTTCCTCTACTTTTACTTTCAGAACAGCTGCAAAAATTTCCATACCCTGTCTTTTAAAACAATACAATCTCTGTTGCTTTAGTGATTGATAGTATCACATAGTTTAGAAACTTTCTTAAAGAACTACAAATCCTAAATCACATTTTACCCAAAGCTTCCACTAGCAAAAAAGAGAGAGCAGCGACGCATCATTGAAATTCAAAAGTCGGCAAATGTTGCCGTTATTTGAGTCCTTTTGGCATCTCATGTGTTTTGCAAACAGACAGAGAGCAGGGGAGGTGACACATGTCTAACACTAATACATTGTCAACAAATCCATTGTTAATGTATTTGTACAATATAGCCAGTGTGCAGAGGTTTGATAATTAAAAAAGAAGAAATGATCAAATATTGGTTGCCTATAGGACTCGTTTTAGTTCCATAGCAACAAAAATACAAGTGTGGATTTTGATTTATTTTCACCAGTATTGTATTTAAGTTTAGAATTCTGGTATCATGACAACCTTATTGTCAGTACGCCAAAGTGAGAAAAAAAAAAAGGGGAAGCGACAAGAGAATCATGAGACAAGTGAAAGAGAGTGAGAGTGAGAGCGAGAGAGAAAGTGACCTTGCTTCTTCTTAGAGCAGACTAATATTTCATCAGCTAACACTACAGGCACACCTGCCTCACAGCTTCACTCAGGTCCCCACATCTGCCAGCAGGCAGCTCTGTGCTTCATCCCTGTGAGGGAGAGCGTCAGGGGAGGGACGGGAGGAAGAAAGACAGGAAGAAACTTAAACAACAACAAAGTCTTGTGTGGGTTTAATCAGAGACTTTGGTACATTTCAGGGATGGTGAGGATGTCTTTGAACACACGAACCACAAAAAAGAAAAGAGTAGTGATATCAAGACAAAGACGGGGAGAGCAGTAGAATGATCTAAAGAAATGACAAGACTCATAACCATGAACCACCTACTGAACTGCACATTTGAGTTTGTCTATGCATGTTGAGACTGCACCTGTTGTAAGTGTATTAGTTTATGAATAAGGGGGACACACAAAAGGTCGATTCTCAGTCCCCAGCATCAGACAACTGAATCAACAACCGAATAAGAACTGAATTATCTAACCTTTAAGGAAGGAAGTGAAATCATGTGATTCAGAGGCATTGCTACTGAGCGGCATGAGAAGTGAAACCATTCCAGTGTATCGTCTGAACATGCTGATCCATTCAACATTTCATTCACTTCTCCAGGTCTAGGTTACACTGACATGCAAGACGCCGACCACGTGCATGCACGCCACTGCATGCTGATGCAGATGTTGTCAGTCTGATTTGTCGCCATGCAAACTGTCCTGTGTGTTGGAGTTCGAGGGAGCATCTGTGTGGGTGCTGAGTTCATTTTGTCTACATTAGGTCATGGAGAACAACCACATGTGACAGATGACAGATGACAGATGTGTTGATGACAGTGATGATGAAAATATTTTTTTGTGGTATTTGTGGAAATTATATTTATCATACCGGTAAATGTAATCTCTGATCTATTTTCATCCTGAATGTGCCACCACATAGTGAACGAGTACTTTATCTCTCTATTCAAACAGCGGTTTAGGTAAGGACAAAACAAAGAACATAACAAGTTCTGATAACTACCAGTACTTTAACTCATTGTTATTTTTCCAACAACTGTTTTGATACACTTAATCTCCTCTGAAATTAAAAACTGCAATTATAATTTACAAGACCCAGAGTATTTTTTTAATCCTATAATTAAAAAAAAAAGCTTCATCTTTTGCTGGTAAAGATGTTTCTCATGGAATCTTTTCATGAAGTCAACATATTTCCTGGCTTCGTCATGATGGATAGCCGTTCAAAAAAAGTGTGATGCCTTTAAGTTAAGCTTTTCACACATTTTGCCCAAAGTTTGGGGGATAACAAAGAGATATTAACCTGATTCATTTGCCTTAATAAAGAATGTTGATAAACAGGATACCAAACTAATTCAAATACTGATGTCAAAGAAAATTTGGTACACAGGAAAGATGTATGTCTGTCCAAACTTTCAAAAAGGGCCACCAGATATTTTAGCGGTAATGTTGCGAGCCCCATGTCCGGAAGCCATAGTCCTCGTCACAGTGGCTGTGGGTTTGAATCTGACCGCGGCCCTTTGCTTCATGTCAACCCCCACTCTCCCCCCTCACAACATTTCCTGTCTCTCTTCAGCGGCAAAAAATATAAAAAATAAATAAAAAAAACATTCAAATGGAATACAGTGTTTGAAGTACAGAAATGGAATGATGGGGAGAAGTCGTTCCGCACCTGATCCGCCATCAGAGTGACTGAGGTGTCATTGCATACACACGCTGGCAATGTGTAGCGTCAGAGGAGACGGGGCGGAAGAGTTTAGCAATTTCAATGAGTAAGTATAATGAATGAATGATGGCGGACATTCGTTACAGTGCTGTTGCGGAACCACAATCTGTATAGGCTCTAACCAATCATTGGATGGATTGATGGATGGATTGATGGATGGATCGTATTGATGAATACTAATTGTTCAGGTTGGTTCACAGTTGAGTTGGCTTCTAACTATATTGGATATTTTCCACCACCCTTCCTTCATTAATGCATTTAATAAGGAGGCCAAAATGCTCCTTTCCCTGCAGGAGAAGTGAAATGTGTAGGAATTGTTTGTCCCCCTTTGTAAACACACCATTCAAAATAAGCTTCACCTCGCGGCCCCAAAGAGCGGGGTGGAGAGCAGCGGTGGTCGAGCAAGCTTTAGAGTGAATCAAGAGAGGGAGGGGGAATTAAAGGGGATTACCAAAGTCATTAGGATTCATCCTCAAGGGAACTTGAATGTCTGTGGAAAATTTAATGGAAATCAGTTCAGGAGTTGTTGATATATTTACGTCTGAACCAAAGCACAGCATCGCCATCCATATAGAGGCAATTAACATGGCTCCAAATGCAGGAGCGAAAAAAAGAGGGTGGCATTGTGTTTATGAAAGCAGACCTCTGGGAAGATACTGCAGTGTTTCTTCCAACAAAGCCGCAGTATGTTAAATAGCTTTATCACATATCATATGCTGTCACCTGCTTCCATGACCTCATCCCCGCTATCCCCTCTCCTCGGTGTTATCTCCAGGTTTCAGTCCAACATCCGAATAAATATAAAAATTCTATATCTGTAGTGCAAAGTAAGCAATGACACTTTCTGCCTATGGGGATTATCTTTAAGGAATGCTGTTCAGCAACTGGGAAGTCAGTTTATAGAGGATTGACCTTTGACCTGGTGTTATACGGCATGGAGCAGAACATAAACAGCCTCTCTGCTCCCCCTGCTCGACGTCATACCATGAAATGGTCTGCACAAAGGAAGAAGAGCTGACCTTAACTGTCTTAAAGGTGTTCACAAGCACAAGTCCACACACTCAAAAACACACACTAGGATTGTCAGTACCAGGACAAGCCCACTGTGCAGCCAGAAGAAGAAAAAACACACAGCGCTTTTATCTGCGTCCAGCTGCCTTGATTCAGAACACAACAAAAGAGATGACAAGATAGGGCAGCGGGAAGAAAGTGGACAGATTGTGGAAAAAGAACACAAAGCACAAAGTCAATCAACTGGCCGGAGTAAAACAAAGGGTTATGTGTGATGAGAGAACTTCGATCTCCAGAGAGCTACAAAGCCCTGATGTAGCCTGTTAAGCTCCTGCTTCAATTCAGCTCCATGCTGCTGATCAATTAGAGAACAGCTGAACCAGCTGCTGACCACACATTCTGGTTTTAAACAGAAATGTTTCTACCATGTGTGTGCTGCCTGGACGCCGAGCCAACCCCACCCAAGTGTCATGCCATTATCTGATGGCGGCTGATAGAATTGAAATGTCAGCATGCTGGTTTATCTGGGTCCATCTGCATGGACGGAGTCACAACATGTATGATGTAATGAAAACTATAGTGAGAATATTGTTCGTCGAGAGTCACTTTGGGTTAGCGAGTGTCAGAAAGAAACACAGCTTACTAACAAGCCAAAGGAAGCAAACAACATACAAACACAGAACTGTAAATCTGGTCTGAAGGCAGTTAATAAATCTCCAAGGGCCATCATTTTATTTACATTTTCCAGAACAAGTTGTGAAAAATAAGGACAGGATTTATCGTTATTTTCCAACGGGCCTCTCTCCTGCAGTGTTCCTACCAGCTCTGGTGTGCAGGGAAAGTGTCAACATGGGAATTTTCCATACAGGCAACCGAAGCTTACCCAAATAACTGAACCAAGCAACGCTGAAGGGCATGAAAGTGATTATAAAAACAAACAGCATCATACCCCTAACACTTTTTTTAATTGTATAATGTAGAGTCCAACAAATTATCCTCAAGCCTGAATGCGTATTTCAATATGGCCGGATCTCCTTTCACAGACAATTTAATTCAGAAAGATGTAGCTGAGCATCACAACTCTGTTGACAATGTGTCACACAACGCAAGATATTTTCTTATACAGTTAATTGTTTAAGAAAACAGCCTTCTGGGTATGTTTACAAAGCAAAATATGTGCATAACATAAAGATTTAATTCCATCCCAAAATCCACTAAATCATCAATCTGTGATTCTATCCCCTTTAAAATCAGATCCCAAAAATCCCATATAAGTTGCACACCAGTACTTTGGTTTGTGACTGAGACTCACCCATCCTCCTTGGCTCTCGATCCAAGGTTGAATTCGGTTGTCCAGGTAGACAGTCATCCACTCTATGATCCTGCCAACGAGGGGACTCATCTCCTTCTCCACGCACTCGACACACAGCGCCCCGCCGAAAGCAAAGAGCCCCACGATGCGGCCCCAGTTGACTCCGTCCCGGAACACCTCGTCCATCACGTTCTCAAAGCTCTGGTGGGTTGTGGCCGGCGTGATGTGCAGCTGGTTGTGCAGATCGCTGAAGGCGCTGGCATATCGCAGCTCAAACTCGTTGGCCGAGTCCCGGAGGGCCTCCTTCACCGCGTCCAGATTCGTCGTTGCTGGTAACCGTTGTTGCTGCTGCCGGTGTGGGGACGCTGGGGGGGTTCCAGGACTCGTGCCGTTAAAAGTCCCGTTGGCGTGCGTCGCTACCTGCTGTTCCTCACCCGACCCTGCCCCCGCCCCATCAGTCCTGTTTGGAGGCTCTAAGAGTTCCATGTGATTAAGAGGATAATTTCTCTGAGAGAATTTATAGGTTATGTAGAAAACCACTAGTTCTCTGTTTTGAGACATTTTGTCTTTTAGCAAGCGACTTTCTTTTTGCTCCGCTCGGTGTCTGCTCCTCTCTTAGTCGAGCCTCGCTGTGTTAGAGTGAACACACACTGTGCCAGGCTTTCTCCCTGCGCTGCCTCCGTTCAGATCCTCATGGTCAGCTGATATCCAGAGGACACTTGGGGGGGTGAACCTACACAAGGCTGACAGATCAGCTCAGGCCCTGTAGAGAGACAACGAAAGGTCAAGTTCTGTACAGCCAATAAGCATCCTGTGATTTTAAACCGTGTGTCTGTTAGGAAAGAAGAGTGTGCGGGGATGGCGGTGGACTTTCAAATTCAATCTGGACAGGTAGGGTCAAAGGGCATCTCTCTAATTGGACTGTTACACATCGAGCAGATGGCAATAGTATTAATGAGGCGGTGGTAAAGCGAATGTGTGCATATACGTGTGTGTGTGTGTGTGTAAAGAGAAAGCGGCGGACAGTGATAGGGACAAAGGAGGGGGTGGTGTGAGGAAGGTGAGGTTTAGGTAGGCAAAGATCACAGGGACAGTCTGGCTCGAAAGCCAAGGCAGACAGTCACTATCTCCAAGACTGGAGACCTTAGAGCTTTCAAACACAGCGTTTGTCCAGCTCCAGCCCGTCCTTACACACTCCTATACATACTGTCTCACATACAGAAGCATGCCCTTTAGTTAACATAGAAAACAGACCTTCACTGGTCTGACACCTTGGTTGGCAAAATATTAAAAACTTTTCAATGTTTCTCAAATATTCAGTAGCGGTGGTGAATTCAAATTCACACAGGTTGGCAAATAGTGACGTTTCTCAACTCAAGTCCTTCAGTTCATCAGAATGTTGCAAAAGTTAGGTGTGTCTAACAGACCGAGTGCAGAGGAGGTGAAAGTGACACTGTCTAAATTGCATGAACACATTTAAAAAGCAACCTGGGAAGTGTGCAAAAGTTTGATTGCAATTTTTGGAAATGAAAAAAAAAAGACATTGCCCAATATGGGGTACCTAGAATCAAATTGTGTTGCACTTGTATCAAAACAGGTATCAATAATTTATACGTTGCCCCAGTATTGTATCACTACTCTGCTTTAATATAAGGGGTGGAAAAAAACATATGAATGGATTGCATGTTAAAAGATGTTTGCTGTCATAACTGGTGTTTCTCTTCACTCACTGGCTGAAAGGTAAGTATTTTTTACATTAAATGTTGATGACTGAATAAAGATATCTAATAAACCAGATACTTTATTTCCCTCTTTATGAACTCAAAGTCCTAAACACTGTCACGCACCTATCTTCATGTTGAATAATTCTGCAGTTCAGCATTGATAAATAAAACAAAAATCTTTTGTTTGTGTATCAAGCTGTGACACAGAAGGATTAACCCCTTGTTAACGTTTTGGTATGACGGGTCAAATGTACATTTTTTAGCCAATAACTGGTGCCTTTGGGAACTGGCACAGCTTGTTTCTGAATGTGATACATGACAAATACAGTCTGGTTTACCTGTTGGTGATTTAAGTAAGCAGTCAGACTACACACTACAGGGATTTATTTTACTATTTTTTAACAACAACAAAAAGTAACAGAAAATATCTTTACATTATAAAAAATAATCAAATCTATAGAAACAGACCAAATGTCCAACCTGGAGAGATAAGTCTTTGTTGTGAATGATGTCTATGTAACTTAGCTGCACAATAACAACACAACCCTCTCAGCCTCAGGCACCAAAAGTATAGTATGTTTCTTTTTCAGAAAAAAATGATTTCCATCTCTTTCTGAAAAAGCAAAGATTTTTTTTTCTTTTCAAAGCCTGATATATGAAATGTTCGTCTCTGTCTATCGATAAAACGATCTCCCCCCTTTCGTTCTGACACTGTCTTAAATATTCTGCTGTTGAGCTCAGCAACATAGTTAATTTGCCAAATTAATAATTGATATTATAATTCCACACCATGCTCATGCACTAATGTAGCTTTCAGCTATTGATTTTCATTCAGGAAACAACTAGGTGTTTTTTTTAGAAACATTCTTACACACAAGCTTTGACTTATTTTGTAGGCTATAATAACAAGAAGACCTAATAAGGTTTTTATGTCAATATCAGGCAGCCAGATAAATTGAATTTAAATGGAGCCACATCCATGAAACAAAAGAATCTGAGGGAGCATCTTCTGACAAAGCCTGTCCCTCATCCTCTGCTGCCACTCATACTTGTCCTGTCATTTTTTGACATTAACTGGAGTATGCAGGCACGTACAAAAGATGTGGGAGGAACATGGCCTGCTGTTGATCCCAGAGTGTCTGCTGATTGTCATGTGGGAACCTGACCTTTCCTGCAACAATATTGACATTTAAACTGATAACTGGCTGGAACTAATAATGATTGTGTGAGGGGAAGAGAAGGGGTGTTCATGCAAATGGTTGCATTACATAATACATACTGTACCTACCCTACATAGCTGCACAATAGAATCCGATAAACACTGTATTGGCTTCTGGCCAAACAAGTTAAGAACTCCAATCTCAGCGAGCCAAAAAAACTTCATACAAACATTAATTGAGCGGACTAATTTGGCCATAATTGGCAGTGAAAGAAACAAAAACAGCATGAATATGATGCAGCATGAGACAATCAGCGTGAGGGAAACACTGACTACTGTATGAAGCCTTTTGGACAACTGTACCATGTTGTTAGCTGTTAAATAAGCGCAAAATAAATATGTAAAAAAACAACTAAGCATACACTACACTGTAAGTTTACACACGTTATATTTACACAAAAGTAAAAAAATACAAAAATAATAACAATTATAAAAATAGTTGGCTTCTTTACTTAAGAGAGTGCTTTTAAATATCTTATTATAATGACTGTAGTAGGAAAAGCTGCATCATTACAATAACAGTATGCGAAGCCATGGAGAGCTACGCACTTACTCAGAACTGGAGTTACATGCAGTAACCAACCACAGCCCTCTGTGACGGACTTCTCTGGTCTAAGTTTGAAGCTACAGACTACATCAGGCTTTTACATTACTGACAAAGAGGTTCTGATTCCTGTCGCCCATAACCACAAGCTTGATATCTGTATGACACAGACACGGGGAGATGAAACGGAGAACATTCGCGAACCATGTGGGTCTGATCCGAACTGGGCTCCCAACAGAGACGCAGGAGGATTTTAATAAATGTGTTGGGTTTTTTTTGTTACAACTTTACCTTCACTATAAAGCACTGCGGGGGGGGGGGGAGGAGAGGAGAACACTGGTTGTACATAAACCCCTTAGCAGTGTTTACAATGGCCACATGGTCCCAACACGTGGCTCTCGTGAACAACGCAGCTCTGATGTAAACACCAACCAGTACCTACAGGACTAACAACGACAAGCGACCAAATGTAGCACCTGAACGCAACATTTGTAAAAGACATTCGCTCAATTATTAACTCAAATGAAGCAAACAGAAGTGTGTGTAAGTAGCTGTGTCCAAATTCCAGTGTAATAAACATCATGGGATAAAACAACCAGGCGATAGCTTGCTGTAAAGCCTCTTTAGACTGCGTTTGCTGGCTGCCAGAGCCCCCCCCTCTGTGTTTCTATGTATATCTCCGGAATACAAATGTGTTAACACTTCTATTTGGATCTTTCATATAAAAATATATAACATGGAAATACTACCACTAGTGTCTTACCAGCTGTGCTGAATAAAATTGAGTTCTCCTCGCTTCAGTCAGCGCGTCCCTGCGTGGAAAATCTCCCGAATCTGTCAGCGAGTTTAGTCCGTATGTCCCTATGTCCGTAGAAGAGCTGTCAAAATCAAAGAATGTAAAATAGCTACTTTACGTGCCTGACTGTATACCTTTGCTCGTCCCCTCCTACACCTCTTCTCTGTCCTCCCCCCTTCACTCTTTGCATGCCCAGCCCTCATTTATTACGTAACACGACGCCTTCAGAGCTGTCTGAATATCTGGATCACGATCACATCAACAATCCAGCGATGATATGATAAAATCACACAAAATTACAGTCTCTCATATCCCCCATAATAGACTGTAAAACAGATAAAGACACTGATGTAAATAATAAAATTAACATTTTCTATTTTGAGACTTTCAGCACAGGATGTGTAGTTTACCTTTCACACTAGTTGTCCACATGAACTTAAATAAATTCGACAACATTGATGCACTTTTTTTGGGGGGGGGGAAGTCCAGGGGTGCGTTCAACAGGCAAATTCAATTTCACAATAAAAGCTCTATTCACAATTTGAAATTACTACGGTCGGGACGGGCTTAGCATGAGCTCCTGAACGCATCACAGGCCAGTCCCCTCTCCTGTCATTAAAAACACTGGGCTAGGACCTTTAATCACAACCGCATTAAAAAAAAAAAAAAAAGGTGTTTTGCGACAACACCCTCTCTTCCAGCTCCGCATAGACTCTGACTCAATCGCAATTAGTATTAGAAAAAGTGATTGATGAGAAAAGCAGCACAGAGACACGGCTACCAGTGTAATGTAGGCTACTGAAGATGGCTGTCACTGTCAGATCAAGAGTCTCAGAGTTGTCGCCTATTGGTTGACTGTATCGATAAAAAAAAAAACGTTTTTGCAAATCATTAATTGCAGTTTGCATAAAACACACTGAAATGTGTCGTGGAAAGCAAAGCAGGAAACTAAATGATGGCTCCGCATTCTTAACAAATCTGTCGACCTCCTTCACTAAGAAGCTGGATTCAGAAAGGGAAATCCACCCTTTCTACCATTTTCTCCTCGTAATTTCATCAACACATCGGACACAGTCATTTGCATTGTCATGAGCCAACCATAAAACTCTTACTTGTAGGGAGGTTTCCATAAAATCATGTCTGGCAGCTCTCAGTCCAGACCCCGGCTGGAGTTATCCTTTCCGTCCTAGCCTGTGTGGCTAACGCCGACGGTGCTCACCCAAACAGTCAGCTACTGGCTAGCCCAGATCCGCCCACAGCTACGTTCACGACGTAACTCCACCATGCCAGCCAGACAGACAGATGACAGGTTAATCCACCGCGAAGAGTAGGCAATTCAGGGGAGACAATGCAATCTTCTTGTCTGCACACTTTAAGTGATAACTAGCTGGGACGGTAGGCTGTTATGAAGTCCTACCTAGCGTTAGCTGCACCTGGCTAATGTAAGAGCTAACTTGCTAACAGTGAAGCACTATGTTGAACTACACTGTCTAAAGGTTGGGGGCCTTCGTCTGGCCCTTCCAAGGATTATGTAAATTGATAGTTATGGGGCAACTCTCTCTCTCTCTCGCCTATCGAGTTACTTTTATGTCTTAACAACAGGGTTTAGTGTAGCAGCTGATAGACCGCGTTCCACTGTACTTGCCAGGACAAAGGACGTGAGAAGTCTCCATGGTAACCTTTGTTACCCCAAAATCCATAGAGCAGTTCAGGATGCGGCCCTCGGAAAGGCGGAGCTTCACAGATAACCCCGCCCATATTTTTTACGTCAACGTGCGTCATTGTGAAAATGTGGGAACTTTGAAAGCTTTTTTTCTAGATTGATTTTGAACATATATTTTAAATGTTATGCGGGACTAAAATTAATCTACAGAAAAAAATGAAAAAAATATGGATATGGACAGAAATACTGTCTTTATTTTTAAACTTTCTCCTTTTACATGGCAAGTGTTAGGGCCTACATCTATAAATGCAAATGGTCTGAAAGGAAACCCAATAATACCAGTTCAAAAATGAATTTAAAATGTAGGCCACTTTGAAAAGCTGGGAGGACTGACCTACAGAAAGCCAGCAGGACTACTGACATTTACAAACCTTGAAAAACTATCTTTCATTTTAAGATGATGTACCCCTTCCTTCTTCTTGTTGTTCGCTTTGCCTTTTTCAGGGTCTGCATTAACCTTGTAAATATTTATCATGCAATTAAAGGTTGTAAAAAGACTATTCTCAATCCCAGATGTTGTCATAAAGAAACATGGTACTCCATTATTTAAATTCTACTCAAATGAATTATATTTTATGTATTACTATTACATTTTTATTATGCTTCTTCTAGAATGTAAAGTATCTGTGTATGTCTTGCTTTATCCCAAACATGATTATTAAGTATACAATGTCAAAAGTATTTTAGCATGACGCATTCCTAAACATTCCTAAAATCAAATTGATTGTTTTTACATTTCTTAATTAGTATGAGACAGCCTAGTGTCAGAAAATGTGTAGTTTTTTCTGTTTAATTGATAAAGAAGTATATACTGTTGGGACAAAATAAGTAATAAATGTTTTTTTTTTGTTTTAAATCTCACAATGCTTTGAAAAACTTAGGACAAGCCTGGACATCCTCTCAGAGCCCACACATCCCAGGCAGACGACCAGTTTTATTACAGTGCCATCCTGTGGACATATTCATATAGAAAGACTGTAAATATACATCTGGGAGATGTCAGCTAGACCAACACATGCTGACAGAGAGAGCAGCATCTAGTATTAGTTAAAGTATAAGGCCCAATTTGTTTTAATAGCCATTTAAAAAAAAAATCACAATTTGGTTATGTCATAGCAAGAAAACTTATGATGGCTCTTAAGAGTTGCGTGGTAAATGGATTTGAGCTTTTCTAGTCTTCCGACTACTCAAAGTGCTTTTACACTGCAGGTCACACCTACACATTCACACACTGATGGTAGTGGTCGCTATGTAGTATCATCCATCAGAAGTAACTAATCCCATTCATACACCACTGAAGCAGCGGGAGCAATTCAGGGTTAAGTGTCTTGCCCAAGGACACATCGGACATGTTGCTAAAGGATCGAACCCTCAACCTTCCGGTTGAGAGGTGACGACTCTCCCAACTGAGCCACAGCTGCCCGTAGCAACATGTTGATTTACAGTTAATGCTAGTATAAAATAGTCAATTCAATAGGTATTTCAAAGATTTAAAATCTCTGCAATTGAGATGTTGAGCATAAAAGCATAAATGCATACATAACATGTCAAGCTGATTGGTGCAGTAGTATGCAAGATTATAGGTGAACAGAGAGATACACACAGACATTAGTTTATAAAAAGAAAGTAAAAAAGGAACATTAAAATAAGTTTTACAAAAACTTTAAATTTCCTAAGCATTTTTTGTCTTTTCAACTTTATCCCTACAAAGAACAGAGACAAAGTGCTCTCCTTTTTTTTGCTATTATATAGAAATGAAGTGGATTGTTCAATCAAAGCGATAATATAAATATATATGATGCATGTGATCATAAAACTTTAAGACAGTTTTTAGCACCAGTTTCATTTGCTATCCCCATAAAAGTGAATCAAAAGTCAGTGAAGTGGCTCAGAATTAAGGTTTTATTGACACTTCACCAAATGCTCTGAAGATTACATCACAATATTATGTATAGAACAGAATAGCATATATTTAGGTATCTTACATTGAAAACTTTACAGTCATCATTTTGTCATTTATATATATTTATATATATATTTATATATTCCCCAGCTTGAGGGAAGAAAAGTAGACATCCATAGTTGCAGGGGAAGGAATGCTTTTTCAAAAAAAATATTCAAATGCAATGTCAATAATTACATACATCCTTCTTTAAAAAACAAAAAAACAATGCATGGAACAAACTGTGGAGGATCCAGGATGCAAAGATTCCAGTTCCTCTGTAGACGTGACTTTTGGTTTCACTTTGTTCCTGCACCTTTCTTGAATGTGTCCAAACACTGATGGGGATTCCAACCATTCACAGGTCTGTACACTGGGGTGGTGTTAATACATGTAATGTGCAAAACAGAATGTGAAACAAACAGTACATCATAGGGCCAAATGATGGATTAGTGGGGGGTCTTATGAGCCAGCTGTATTTGTAATGCCAGGAGGAGTTGACTCCATGAAAAGTCCTTTGGAGTAAGGCTTAGTGGGTCAACACAACAAAAAAAAGAAAAAGGAATGCAGTGATAACAGAAAAGAGTAGCCAGTCTTTTCAATGTAAACCTGAAAAAAAGACCTCACAACACAGCAGCTGCAGAAGATCTTTGATAATGTTGAAAGGGATGCAGACTGTTTTTCACCTGCAGCTCAACCTCTTTAACAATAGCCCCCCCTACCAAAGGACAAAGACTTGAGCGAGAACATTAAAGTAGCTTTGCTTTGGGTGGGGCACCGATACATGAGGCTTCAGATATTACAATTTGTTTTGATGAGATCAACAAACTCACAATAAGAGCGACACTGATGGTGTCATCGTCGTTTTCTAACAGGCACAGGTGGCCAAAAGAGCGTTCACAAAGGGTAAAAGTAAGGTTCACCAAATTCATTAATTTTGTCCATTTACTTTCAGCGTGAAGTTATACTTTTTTAAGTATTAAAAAACCAAACAGAAAAACCAAACCAACAAAATTACAGGTACAGGGTTTGCAACAATATCAATAAATTAATTGTTTACAGTTCTTTTTTAGTGATTTCAGTTTGAGATGAGAGTCGGGGGGGGGGGTTCGGTTGATGAATGACCACAGTCAGCAGAGTTTGCTGGTCACAGTGCTGTTCCTCCCAGAGGGAAGAAGAGAGGAAGGACAGGGTGAAGACTTCTCTACAAGCTCAGCGTAGTAGAAGAAGCGGAACATTTTAATGAGTCCTGAAGGGAGACAGAAAAGCTACAGTCTTCATCGTCTTCCTCCTCGCATTAGAACCCCTTTTTGTTGTTCTGTTCCAGTCCCAAAAAAATAAAAAAGACTGGGAAAGTGTCTCAAGTGTCCACTTCTGATCAATCTACGCTGCCATCTCTGTTTCTCTCCACCTGTCGCCAACCTCAATCTAGGATGCAGGAGTGAGGACGTGCGCCCCCTCCGGAGCAGCGATGTGGAAGACGGAGCCGATGCGCAGGAAGAAGCGCCTGAGGATG